CCCACTCGGCCATTAAGGGCTCTAAAGAGCTTCATGAGAAGCTCATCAGAAGCTCTGACGGGGGTCCGAGAGGTTCCTGAGAAGCTCTGGCGTGCCTTGTGGGAGGATCCTGAGAGATTCTGCAAGGCCTCTGGAAAACCTCTTGCGAGATACGGAAAAAGCTTCAAGAGAGGCCCTCAGGAGGCTCTGAAGGGATTCCTGGGAGGATCATGTGAGCGAGGCTCTGGGCATACGCTGAGCGACCCCACCAGAGGTTATTCTCAAGCTCTCAGAGGCCTTGCGACTCGCTCTTGGCTCTGGCAAGCTTCCAGAGATGCTCTTGAGATACTCTGAACGAGTTCCTGAGAAGCCCTTGAGAGGAGAGGTCCTGGAGAGGCTCCGAAGAGCTTCGCGAGAGGCTCTGAATATGCTCTTGAGATGATCTGAAAGCGCCGCCTGGGCAGGTCTTTAGAAGATCTGGAAGGCCTCATTATAAACTCTTGAAGAGCTCTGGAGGGCACCATGAGAAGGCCTGAGAATCTCTCGGAGGGGCCCTCCCGATCGATTCCTGAGGGCTTAGGCTTTGAATGGGGGCCCCGAGAGGCTCTTGAAAAGCTATGGCGTGCCTGCAGAAAGAATATTGGGAGGTTCTGCAGGGCCCCTGAAAAGAGGACTGACAGGCTCTGATTAGTTTCCAGAGAGGCTCTTGTGAGGTTCTCAATGGGGGTCCCGAGATGCTCTCGAGAGGCTCTGGGCACGCGCTGAGTGACCTCTTCAGAGGTTCTTGATACGTCCTCGAGGCCCTCATAATGTTTTCTTGAAAGTGAGAGGCTTTGAATGGCTTCATGATGGGGCTCAGAAGAGGCTCCTCAGAGCCCTCCTCCCGGGGCCGCCTTGAAGCCGCCCCCATCCGTCCCCGAGACACCCTGACGGGCGTCCTGGTACGCTTGCCCTGAAAGATGGGGTCTGGGCAACAAAACAAGCAAACCGTTTGGGACATCCGAGAATATGAAGGTGAACGGAGGAGTGTCCTACCCGCTGGCGGCTGCCCTTCGAGGAGTTGAAATCAGCATTGCGCCTGAGACATCCTCGCAATCTGATCTGAAAACAGAGGAGCCTGGGCAACTAAACACATACACGTATGAGACATCACCGCAATCTGGGCCCGAACGGGCCCGTGCAATACCCTGGCGGCACCTTCTGGGGCCTTCTCAGTGCACTGCTTCAGGGCCCTGTCGGATCCCTGTTTGGGGCCCTTTTGGAGCCTTTTCGGCTTGTCGGCAAGCAATTCCCAGGGCTCTCTTGATACTGCTCCGGTATTATCTTCGAGCTCTCATGGGGTGCCTCTTGGGGCCCTCCTCTGCTTCTGCAAGGGGCATGTCGGAGCCCTCTTGGAGCCTCTCTAGGGGTTCCCATGGGGCCTCTCTCGGGGCGCTCTTGGGATCTGTTTGGAATGCCCGTTGGACCTCTCCTGTGAACCCCCTGGGACGCCCTTGGGATCTTCTTAGAGCACCTTGTCGGGAATCGTCTTTGCTCGGTCTACGTTATTACTACTTGTTCACCTCATGTTCAAACCATTTGTGGGTAGCTCCTGACACTGCATGTGTGCGTACGCATCTACATACTGCTGTGAGACTGTCAATGGCTGGAGCTGGCTAGAACCTCAGCGCGCGCGAAGCGCGCATTGGTCTAATTGGGATATGTCCGCAGAAGCGTTCTGGCGGACATGTCGCCCTAAATATCGCAGAGCCCCATGTCTTCGGCTCTCCTGGAGCCATGAAAGGCTGTTTTGGCGGCCATCTTGAGCCAACTCGGAGAGCGCTGAGGTATTTTGGGCCGGTTGGCAAAGCAAGAGTTCGTCGAGCCCTACAAGCTTTACGACCTGTACGGGCAATGCAAAGTTTCCGGGGCGTTCACCAGGTGGAAGAGGAGTGGGGGGACGGGGAGTGCTGGCCACGCTGCTGCCTGACTAACGCACTGTTCTCCTAAGCACTGGCGGAACCGAGGGACAGACATTCAGTGAACACGCTGCGGCCGCCTGCTGACTAAAGCAACGTTGTCCTAAGTACTGGCGGAAAAATGCAAGCTCAAAGTTGCGAGGATGTCTCAAGCGACCGCGGCCAAATCGCATCAAACCAAAACATATTCGATCCCAAAGTGCTGAGATAGTATCACTCGAAACGGGCCCGAAGTCTTTGAGAACACACATGTTGGTACCCTGAATGATGATGTTGACGTCATCGGCGAGACTGCTCAGATCCTCACGGATCTTGTCATATCGGACCCAGGCTTCCGAGATTGTCTCACGCGAAACGTGTCTCCCTCCCTTCCTCTTCCTCCTGCTACGCTTTCTTTTCGCCTTCCCCCTCGATGCTACTCGCCAGCATGCAGCCCGAGACCCTTGCGTTAGATTCTCACCTTCCCGCCTCCTGAATCTCTTTCTCCTCCTTCTCCTCCTCATCTTCTTCCGCCGCCCACTCCTTGCGTCAGATTCTCACCTTCCCGCCTCCTCAATCTCTTTCTCCTCCTCCTCCTCCTCCTCCTCCTCCTCCTCTTCCCTCTCCTCTCCTCCTCAACCACCGGCCGAGCCGAGCCGGCGGGCGGGCCAGTTGAGCTTGGGACGACGACGACGACGACGACGACGACGACGACGGAGCATGTACGTGCTCGCGTGCGCGCGTGCGCGTGTTCATGTACATGGAGACGGGGCCTCCCTGGAGGGGTGGGAGGGGCACGAAACCTGATAAATAGCATGTGATTCAAATACCTTCCTCGCTCAGGCGGGGCCTCTCGAAGCCTCGAGAGTATTCCGAAAACCCTCCAGGGAATAAATAATCTTCATAAAAGGTACGAATTCCCCCTCGACTCGGTATTGATTTTTTTCTCCCGACCCTGGTGAGCAAGACAAAGACTTAGTTCTGCATAGGTGTTTTTCCCCCAGATATTGTTCACGGGGAAAATGACGTCTTCACGTGGCCTAGTGAGGTCGGGGAGCTCTATTGAGAGTATCCTCAAAACACAATGGGACCCTGTGAAGGATTCAGAGAAATGTTCTGCGTATGATTATGGATGGCATTGGACGTGCGATTCTGAATAGGAATCTCGGGAATAAGATTTGGATAGTGAAGCTTCCTAAAGGCTATCTCGAACATTTGAAAGTAAACAGATAAACTCCCAGGGAAGACCGGGAAGAAAAACTCATAAAACTGCGCGGTATTATCTCACCACTTACGATTGATGTTTCCCCCGGCCTCGGCGGGAGAAGATCGCGGGGAAAAAAACTAATAAACAATATATAACATGTTCCAATGCTGGCGACCGCCACGACCACACCTATTATTTAACTAATTCAAATTATTTAATTTATTTATTTTAAACTCAGCACTTCAATAAGTTAAATAAATCCGGGTGCGCCTGGGACCCGCCATGATCTCCGCCAGGGAGGTCGAGAAAATAAATGAAATAAATTGAATAAATTAAATAAATTAAATAAATAAAAATAATTTAATGTATTTAATTCACCCACATAAATAAAATAAATGAATTGAATAAATTCTATTTATTTAATTTACGTAATTTATTCAATTTATTTAATTTCTGTATTTTATTTATCGGCCTATCTGGCGGAGGTCCTGGCGATCGCCAGGGCCCAATATATTATTTAATTTATTTAATTGTTTAATTTATTTAAAACGCAGCAATTAAATACATTAGATAAATTCGGGTGCGCCTGAAGCCCGCCGTGATCTCCGCCAGGAAGACCAAAAAATAAATTAAATAAACTAGATAAATTAAATAAATTAAATTAAATACATGAAATTTATTTGAAATAATTAATTAACCCACATAAATGACTTAAATAAATTAAATAAATTAATAAATTCTAGTTATTAAATTTATTTAATTTATTTAACTTATGTGATTTATGTCTCGGCTTATCTGTCGGAGATCCTGGCGATCGCCAGGGCCCAGTATATTATTTAGTTTATTTAATTATTTAATTCATTTAAAACGCAGCAACTAAATAAATCAAATAAATTCGGGTGCGCCTGCAGCCTGCCGTGATCTCCGCCAGGGAGGCCAAACAATAAATTAATTAAATTAAATGAATTAAACAAATTGAACAAATATAGGTTAGCTAGTTGATTTAATTAACCCACATAAATAAATTAAATAAATTAAATAAATTAAATAAATTCTATTTATTTAATTTATTTAATTTATTTAATTAATTTAATCTATTTAATTTATTTTTCGGACTATCTGGCGGCGATTCTGGCGATCACCAGGGCCCAATATATTATTTAATTTATTTAATTTATTTAAAACGCAGCAATTAAATACATTAAAAAAATCTGGTGCACCTGAAGCTTGCCGTGATCTCCGCCAGGGAGGCCGAAAAAATACATTAGATAAATTAAATAAATTCAATAAATTAAATAAATCAAATAAAATAAATGAATAGAATTTATTTAATTTATTTAATTAAACCACATGAATAAATTAAATAAATTAAATAAATTAAACTCATTGAACATATTGTACTGGAAAGATCTCCAATCATGTATATATGTATGTACATCTACGCATGTATAAAATAGCACCGTCGAAAATTGGCAAGCAAGGAAGGAGGGAGAACACAAACGGCGGCCCCAGGCGCACCGCTTTACTCTCCCGCCCCGCGAACCGTAAAATGTCTCGTTGGCGGCGACAATTAAAAAGATCGTGACCCTAAGCATTCTCCTCGATCATCAGGAGGACGGGAGAACGAAGGACAGAGCAGGAGCGGGGGGAGGCCCAAAAAAACACCCGGTGCCCCCGAAACCCAGCGGGGCTACCGCTCAAAGTAAACGCGCGCCAGATACGAAGGGTAAAACACAGGTTTAGTGGAAGAGGGAGGGAGCGGGGGCCCGCGCCGTTCGGCGAAACAATGAAACAAACGGCGACCTAAGCTCCTTGAGGCGCGCCAGGATTGGCAGGGCCAGGGCTGGTGCGGCGGCTACCCGGCGTCCCCTGGCCGCCTTCGACAGCGCGGCGAAGGTCCATTCCACGTCAGCACCTCGGAGCGTCGTCGCCGTGATCTTCCATCGATCTGGTGTGGCCGCGGCCGTGAGGTGGAGTGTCGGGGTGGGGACGAAAAGGTAGGATAGCAAAGGGCAGGTTCGAGAATCAGCTCACGCAACGGGTTTCCAAGTGCCTCCTGACGCCGGGAGGCGCCCATGCATCGAGGAATGGACCTGGCGGCGGGGCGGAAGCCAGCTGCATGCAGCAGATTTCGCAACACCCTCTTTCCCTATCCTACCCGTCCGTCTGGCCCGAGAGGGGGGGGGGAAGTGGGCCAGACCTCCTCACGTCGTGACAAACTCACGAACGAAACGCGTTGGGCCCCTTGTAGGGCTCCAGGACAGCACAAGAGAAGAACTCGGGACGAAAGAACGATTCCAGGGAAGGACAAAACTAATAACAGTACCAATAACAAAACACCAAACCAATAACAAAACCCATAACAAAACCAATAACCAAAACACCAAATAACAAAACACGCAACATGAACCAATAACAAAACACCAAACATGAACGACAAACGACGACAGGGGCCTGGAGAGGGCGAGGAGGACGAGGAGGAGGACGACGACGACGACGACGACGACGAGGGTGAAGGTCGATCAGAAACAGCAGGACGACGATGATTCCAAAGACGCGCGAACAGGCTCGTGACCCCCCTCGCTCCAAAAACGGTGTTTGGGGATGATCGGGCTCCGGCTATCTTTTCCCATGGCCAAAAAAGTAGAGGTACAGAATCCTGGCCCCGAAGACGAGCACTGGCCGTGCACGCGCGCAGGAAAAGACGCACCACCCGCTTCGGGGCGCCGCAGGCCGACTTTTCTGCTGGCAGGGGGGCGGGAGGATCCTGGCGGAAACAGGCTCTGGACCCCCTGCCCAAGACCAACCTCTCAGCCCCCGAGTCGTTCTCTGACCTGTGGGCCCCGGAACGGTGCGGTGGCAGACCGTGTGGTGACCTCGGAGGCTCCAGTCGAACGGACCGCGGATCGGTCATCGGACGGCCGTCGGTCAAACGTCCAGCATCGAGCGACGCGCCAGGACCTCGTAGACGCGATTCTGCTCGGCTGTGGCGGGGATGGGGAGGAGGAGGTGGAGGAGTGGCACGGAGGCGGACAAAGACGTCCGACGTCGCGAAAAGCACGACGTCATACGAATAACATGACCCTAGCACCCGATCCAATATTTGTGCCTCGTCTTCGAAATGTCATCGATCCGCGATTGCGAAAGTGCCGATCGTGTTTCTCAAAATCGCCCCTCAAAATCGCCCCCGCGCACACGTCCTGAGCCTGGAGCACATCCTGGCCATGATGACAGAGCGAAACCAGTCGCGGCGACGCGGGCCACCCTTTGGAGTCCGAGAAAGGCAGAGATCGTCAAAAAACGGATTCTCGCCGACGTCGTCGTCGTCGTCGTCGTCGATCGCCGTCGTCGGTCGCCAAGTCGTCGTCGTCGTCGTCGTCGTCGTCGTCGTCGTCGTCTGCGTCTGTCTTCGTTGGTCGCCGTCGTCGTCTGCGTCTGTCTTCGTTGGTCGCCGTCGATAGTCTTCAACGTCGTCGTCGTCCGTTGTCGTCGTTCGTCGTCGTCGTCGTCGGTCGCCCTCGCAGCCCTAACACGGCGGCGTAGCCGAAGACCTCCTAGAGGCCTCCGCGAAGGAACCGAAACCTCTGGAAGCCTCCGGAAGCCTCCAGAAGACCTCCGATGAGCGCACGAAGATCTCAGCCCCCCCACACTAAAACTCCCCAAAACCTACCACACCACCTGAGCCCCTATCCCTCATCCCACCTCCTCCTCCTCCTGCTCCGCCTCCCCACCACCACCACCACCACCACCACCATCATCATCATCATCATCATCATCATCATCATCATCATCATCATCATCATCATCACCACTAACATAAGCAACATCTGCAATATATCATGATGATCGTCAAAGCGTCGTCATGATCATAATCCTTATAATTATCATCATCATCAGCATCATCAACAACAACATCATCAGCATCATCAGCATCATCATCACCATCAGCACCAGCATCATCATTATCGTCATCGTCATCGTCATCATCATCCTCATCCTCATCCTCATCCTCATCCTCATCCTCGTCCTCATCGTCCTCATCATCCTCATCATTGACAATGTCATCAGCATCATCAACATCATCAGCACCATCGTCGTCATCGTCAGTGTCGGCGTCATCGTCATCATCATCATCATCATCATCAGCAGCAGCAAGAGCACCACCACCATCATCGTCAGAATGATCATCGCCATCATGAGCATGTTCAGAGTCAGTGTCACTGGATTCATCATCAGAATCATCATCAGCGTCGTCATCAGCAGTACCATTATCGTCACCATCATCGCTCACACCAATTCATCCGAAGTATCGTCATTGCCATCATCACTACAATCATCAGCATCACCACCACCATCATCATCAACAGCATCAACATCTTGGTCATCACAATCACGAACGTATTCATCATCAGCGTCAGCATCGTCGTAAGTAGTATGTGACATCATCAGCAGCATCATCAGCAACATCAACATCAACATCATCCTCAGTATCAACATGACCGTCAGCACCATCATCACCATCATCATCATCAGCACCAGCATTATCATCACAATCACCATCATCATCAGCCAGCATCAACATCAACATCAACATCCTCTGAATCCTCATCATCAGCATCCTCATCCTCATCCTCGTCCTCATCCTCATCCTCATCTTCATCCTCATCAGATTCCTCATCCGTATCCTCATCCTCATCAGCAGCAACAGCATCATCATCATCACTACCACCATCATAAGCATCATGATCATCATCATCAGCATCAGCATCATCCTTATCATCATCCGTATCACCATCAGTATTATCATCACCATGATCATCATCACCATCATCCAACTCCGAATCATCCCCCCTCTCCTCCTCATTATTATCTTCCTCCGCGCCCTCCTCATCCTCATGCTCACCTTCCCCCTTCTCCCCCTCCATACCTTCCTCACCCTGCCCCCCGCCACGTCCTGCTCCTCGGTCTATCTCTCCACTCCTCCATCCATCCCTCCATTTCTCCCTCCTCATATTGCTTCTCAATCCTTCCCGCTCATTATTCCACCTTCTCCTCCTCTCTTCTTCTCGTCCTCCTCACCGTCCCTCCTCATCCTCAGCGTCGTCCTCCCTCACCCCAAGGCCGACCCACAGGCCTGTCCGAGAACACGATCCGACCATAACTTCGAGGCGAACAAAGCCGTGGGAAAGAGAGGAGCCATCCGCCTCCTCGCTTTTTTTCGCTCCTCCTTGTCCTCCTGGGGAGATCTATGAGTCTCCTGGAAGCCACAAAGTACCTAAAGCATACAAAAGACTTGATCCTTGATGCTCGTCCTACAGCTTCCAGCCCAGGATGCCAGGCCGCAGCGCCAGCGCTGAGGATAGGCACGGCCGCAAGGGTACCCTTGGATCTAGGACGCAGAAAAACCTGCCAAGGATACCCTGCACCGAAAAGAGGCCAGTAACATGCAACCTTTACAAAACAAAACACAAAAAACTGTCAGAGGTCCGCGCGGATTTCAAGGGTCGACGCTGGACCCATGGCGGCGCCTCCGGCGCTGTCCCTGGCGCGCTTCGCGCGCCAGAGGCCAGCATCGACTCACGAAATAGCCGCGTGCTTCCGACATCTTCTGCGTATGTTGCTGATACTGTAGAATCCATGACCTCATCCTCCTCCTCGTCTGATCGCTTTTGACTGTTGTCCTCCACCACCATCTCCTCATCCTCCTCCTCCTCCTCGTCTCAACCGCCCACCCCCACCCCTTCTGACCGCAGGTGTGGCTCGGGTAGAGCCATTATGACGACGGGCGACAGCGACAACAACAAGGAAGGACGACGACAACGACGACGATTCCAGTCGACCCCCGGATCTAAGCAAGAAGTTCTGACCAGGATGTCGACGTCGACCCAACCGTGGCCACGAGGGCACTGCGCAGAGGCCGATCGATCGAGGGACACAACCATCAATGATCACGTTCCTCGAACCACGATGCTCGAGAAACGACGACGACGACGACGACGACGACGACGACGACGACGACGGACGACAACGACGACGACAAACAACAAAGACGGCGACACGCACGCGGAGGCGGCGACGACGGCGGGCAACAACGACGACCACAACGTCGGCGACGACGGCGGACGACGACGACGACGACGACGACGACGTCAACGACAAATTACAACCACGCGCACGGACGACCACGACACGCAGTGGACGACGACGGCGAAGAAGGCAACGGCGCCAACGGACGACGGCGACAGGAGACAAACTACGACGACCCCTGGCATCTGCGGACATGACTTCGTCAAGTCATGGCTCCAGAACTGCTGGCCCCTTCCAAGGGGCCAGTTCTCCGTCCTGAATACATTTGTGGTTGTCCCGGGTGCGGATGCCAGAAACCGAAATCGAGAAATCTGATCGCTGGAGGTTTGGGACGACGACGGCGGACGACGACGACGGCGGACGACGGCGGCGGGAGACGACGGTGAGCGACGTCGGCGGCGACGGCGGACGACGACGACGACAACGACGACGACGACGACGACGACCACGACCACGACCACGACCACGACCACGACCACGACCACGACCACGCCCGCGACCACGACGACGACGACGACGACGACGACGACGACGACGACGACGACGACGGCGACGACGCCTGGGTCCGGCTTGGGGCCCAGCCCCTTCTCCGCGCGCACGGCGCTCGGGTGGAGCGGCACGGCCTCGGATCGCTTCCCGTCTGCGCCGAGCCCTCGCCCGTCGTCGCCGCCGCTGCCGGTCGACACAGCCCATTGCTTTCTCGTCCTCGTCCTCGTGGTCCGTGGTCCGTGGTCGTCCGCCGCCGTCGGCCCCAAATCTCCGACGATATGACTTCCCAAAACCAACGGCACCGTTTCCTCGATCCCGACCCTGGGAACATGAATAGATTGGCGATCGGGTGCGACAGCGAACTGTTCCTGAAAAGGGCCGGGATCTCTGGGGCCGCGGATTGCCAAAAGCACACTGGCGGATGTTTGGGTCTTCCTTCGCCTTCGCGAGTCGCCCGTCGTCGTCCGCCCTCGTCGTTTTCCCATGCATGTCGCGGTCGTGTGTGCGCGCCGCCGTCCGTCGTCGCCGCCGTCGCCACCGATGCTGTCGTCGTCGTCGTCGTCCATCTTCGTCTGCACTTGTTCGTTGCCTCCCCTTGGCAGGCTCGCGCGTCGAGGCGGGCGTGAGAACCCATCGGCGAGAGAACGCACGCCGAGCGCCAGGTGGCCTCGCCCGTGGCCGCTCCTGCTCCAAAGCCTCCTCCGGATCCTCCACGTCCTCCTTGCCCCCTCTCCTCCTTCTCGCCGCTCCTCCTCCTCCCACCCCACTCCTCCTTCCCTCCAGCCGACGAGGCACCACTGTCTGTCCCAGGCAAGATGCATCTCGTGTCGGTGGTCGGCCAGGCCTTTGAGTTCGAACTGCCTCGTCAATGACTCCTTTCCTGGTGCTGAAGCCACTACACTCCACCTGTCTTCCCCCCATTCGCCTCTGTTCCCCCCTTTTCCCCCAGCTTGGGCGGGCGCCAGCCCAGCCCGCTTTCGAGCCCCCCTCAAATTATCAACGGCGGGAACGGCGACCACGCATCTCGCCCACCTCCCCTCGCTACGGTGCCCACTCCCGCTACCAACTGCGCCCGGCATGGCACGCCGCTTCGCCAGCTCGCATTTCCTCGCACCCTGCGTCGCGAACCTGCTGAACGCCCGACGGCGCCAACGTCACCTGGCACTCGTCGCTGGCAGATGCCGACAGCTCCCACTCACTGCGAGGAAAGATAGGCCGCAGCTTCCACGCGCAAACATCGCAAAAACTCACGCAGCGATAAAAAAAAAAAAAAAAAAAAAAAAAAAAAAGCCAGGTCGGGCGATCCCCGCTCGCCCACGGGGCGCATGCCGCGCGCATTCACGTGGCTCCCCAAGACGATCTGCACCTTCTTCGGACCCTCGCGCCGATCCGCCCCCAACGTGCCCGACGCGGCCGCGGGCGCGCTTTCGCCGTCCCCGCGCAGCCGCTCGGCGAGACGCTCAACTTCCGTCCCCGGCATCATGGCTGTCGTCGTTGTCTTGGCGTTTTCGGCCGCGGCCGCGTCTCTGGGGCCACAGTGGCGCGCAGGAACGCAAACTCTCGCGCTGGCCGCGCCGCGCCTCGACCGCGCGCGCCTCTCAGAAACCGCTTCGCGTGCCTCCGCCCAGCGCGCTGCGGCCCCGCCCCTCGCCCGTTCTGCAATCACGCGGCGCCCTGTAGTAATCCCCCGCCTCATTGAACGACTTGGCGCGCCACTTGCGCTGACAGCGGCGCGCGCCGCCGCGGCATTCTGCGACCGCTGAGCTGCCAGCACCATGTCCATGGTCATGTCCGTCTCTGGGCCGCGCTCGTCGCGCGCGCGACCGTCGCGCGGGGCCTCGCGACTGGGACCCCGCGACAAACCGACCGCGCGACACAACATGGAAGGCAGGGCGCCATTGAAAATATCCTCGCGCGTGGGCCCGCGCAAACACGCAAACACCGCTGCACTCCTCCGGCCAGCTCGGGGCGCGCCGCGGGCTTTCATAATGCCTCGGCACAACACTGCCGCGCGATCAACGAGCCACGCTGCGCGTGGAGAGAAGCTCTCGCATTGCATCGGGCCATATTTTGCCGGCAGTGCGCCAGCGGAACCGCCCGCTGCAACCGCTTGCCCCACTGGCGCACGCGGTCCCATCGGAACTCCTGCCCCCTTTGCGCCCAGACGCCTGCGTACTCCTGCAACCGCGCTCGGCTCTCTTCAGCCCTATCCGTCGAGCCCCGCGACTCGCTCGGCGCGAGCGCGGGCTGCCCCCCGCCGCGCCTCGCGGCGCGCTCGCCGCCACCCCCCGGCTCCGCCCCCCTGGCCACCCCGCCGCGCAAGCAATCTGGCGCCGTGACAAGCTGCGTCGACTTCCGACGCGCGGGCCAGACTGCTTCGACCTCCGCATTCCTGCTCCTCTGAAAATCCCACCGCGTCGGAGCACTCTAGATATGAAGGCCGCTGCACGGCCCAAGACTCCTTTTCGGGGTCGCAGGCGTCGCGAGATAGCGCCGCGGACAAGCGACTTTGCCACGCCTGCTCGGCGAACATATTTTGTGCCACCTTGGCAACCAAACGCCGCGTCGAAAGCAAGCAATATCACCCTTCAATTAATTGAAAAAAACGCGCCTGACGTTGCGGCGCCTCTCGCGCGCGGCCTGGCTAGCAGAGCAAGGGCAACCGATGCCGGCGCCAAAACAAACGCACTTCGTCTGCATCTGCGCAGCTGTCGCGCGGCGACGCGCGGCCGCGCGGCCGCGCGGCGGCGCTGGCGGGCCCCGCGCGGTAAATCAGAACCGAAAAACGAAATGACGCCACGCGCGATGTCGAGTTGACCCCCCGACGTCGGGACGCGATGTTTGTTGTTCGCGCGAATGCGGCCTCGACGCCGCGAACAAAGCGTTTCGCGCGCGCCGCGCCGGGCAGGTTGGTCGCGACCTCCCAGGCGGAAGAGGTCCGAGCATTGAGGGCCGAGGAGGGAATCAACCATGCAAGCGCTGCCACAAGCGACAACGAGAGAAAACTCAGCCCAAGCCCGCTCGATAGGCAGTGGCATGAAACGAAACGCAGCGGGCTGGGGCAAATTGGCGAAGGAAGCGGGCGCAAACGGGGGAGGCCTGGGCCTGGGCGACCTGCGCCCTGAGCGCCAAGGGAACTCGTGGACCCGACGGCGCGGCGCGAGTGAAGCTCATCAACGGGGGGAAATTCACTCGCCGAAACGGCGGGGGCATCGCCGCAGCCATTCCGAGGTCGCGAGATACCCCGTCGCGACGCGTCTTCCGCCGCAGCGCGTGCGGCTCGCGCGCGGGCGAGCGCGCGCGTTCGCGCGAGCACAAAAACTCGCTCGCGCGCGCATGAAATCAACGCCGCGCGCAGTTGTGCGCGCAATCCGTTTTTTGCCCGCCGTTTTTTCCGACGGCCCGACGCGCGGCGCCATTTGTCCCCACTTGTCATCACTTTGTCACCACTTTGTCATCACTTTGTCCGCAACAAAAACGCGCGACAACCCTATTTGTCATCACTTTGTCACCACTTTGTCATCACTTTGTCATCACTTTGTCGCAAGGTTTGTCTCCGTTCCCCTTCCAAGCTGCGAAACCCCAAATGTTTCCTTCCGCGCATCGATCTGCGGCCCGTTCAGGCAATGCCGCGCCAGCAACCGCGGGGTCAACGCTACAAACGCAACGCGCGATCTGCGCGTTTGCTGAAACTGGCCTGATGTCGCGCGATGCGGTTTGCCGCCGCGCCTCCAGCCAGCTGGAAAACTCGGGAATGAATTCGCGTCGTTCACGCCAATGCAGCCCCGCTGGGGTCGTCTGGGACCCCCCCCCCAGCCTGCGCCCGCGCGCGCCCCCCCAGCGAGCCTTGGCGGCGCAAGCTTCAAACCCGCTCCGCGACCCCCTCGCGGGACGCCTGATTCAAATGCGACGCGGTCGGGGGTGCCCTTGCGACCTCAAGCCACCGCAGGCTGCTCGTAACCTTTTCTCGCTCGGTCCCCCGCTGCGCGCGCTCGCCCCCCCGCCCGCTATATCCCCCCAATTCCCCCTCCTTCCCGCCCCTGCCCCCGCCCCCGCCCGCCCCCGCGGGGCCGGCGGACGGGGCGGGCCGCGCCCCATACATCGCATTGCATTTTGCACCCGCGCCGTTGCATTGCATCGGCAGACGCTGCGTTGAACTGGGCGCGGCGCCGCCGCGTGTTCGGCGCGTCTCCGCCCGATGCGTAGCGCGCCGTGCCCCCGTTCCCGTTCCAGCGCCTGCTTTGTATCTCGTTTCATCCGCGCAGCCGACGCGGGCCCCGCCGGCGCCCCGACGACCCCTGCGCCCCGAATGCTTCTTCTCGTGCAGATGTTCCGCCTCCTGTCTCGGCCTTGCCTCGGGGCGACGCCGCTGGCCGCTCGGGGGCTCGCGCGACCCTGGCGACGACGGCGGTGGAACTTCAGGGAGCTCGAAGCCCGCCGACGCACGGGGCTGCGCGCGGCGCGAAGCCAGGGCCGACGACGCGGGAAATAGATACTTTTACGGCGGGTCTTGGGGGCAACAACGGCCCTCATAACTCTAGACGACGCGCGTTCCTCCTGTAACTCCGGCGCTCTTCCACCAGCTTCTCCGAGACGCCTTCCGGCAACTGCGCCGGCTCACGCGTCGGCGCGTCCTGCTGCAAACGCTGAACGAACGCCTGCACGTGCAAACGCACGCGCCCCCTGCCGACTTCTGCGCAGCGTTGCCTCCGCGCACCTCGCCAACGCGACCCGCGCAACCGCCCGCCGCCGTCGCGCGCCCCAGAAGAGGCGGGCCTCTTCCCAATCCGGGCACCTCGGACAGCACCGCGCGCCCGCGATGCACTCGAGCACGAAGCCAACGATGATCCGAAACCCATCGACGCCTGCCAGCGGGCCCCGGGCCAGAACAGCCCTCCGCCCATCCGAACCGGGCGCTGCACCGGCCGACGCGCCCAGCGGCGCTGCCATGTCCACCCGGTCGGCGTTCTCGGCCGCGCCCCTGTCGGCCTCGCGCCGCTCCGCCCCCTCGCGCCCCTCTTACTGGCGCTGCACATCCTCGTCCTTCTCGCCCGCGCCCCTGCGACGGCCCCCGCGGCCTCCCGTGCTTTCCCCCGTTGAACTCCCGCGCTGCGGCGCGATTGACGGGGTGCCTTTGTTGGGGCCGCGATAGCCGGGCCATGGCCGAATCGCGTCTCTCGTCGGAGGGCACGGCAAAAAAGAACGGCGCCCCGCGCGGAATGCGAGCCAAGCGGGCGCCGCGTGGCACGAGCGCGCACCCCCCTCGCACCTTCAATCTCGCGAGCAGCGGCGCTCGCTCCTGCAGTCAGCCGTCTCGCCACCGGGCCCAGCCACTGCGCGCGTCGCAGCTTCGAAGAGCCCCCTCGAACGACGGCGGTCTTCCTGGTAGACGGATCTTCGCACGCGCCTCGCAAGGCGCCCACTATGATCGCCGCCGCCTTCTTCGGCTCACCGCGCGAGTGCTGGCCGTCATTCCGTCTGCCCGGCCTTCTGGTTGTCCGCCAGCCGAAAGGATCGCGCCATGACAGACGACGCGGTAGACCCGAACCACCACTCTCGCCGAAACTGCGATTCCACGCGGCGAGTCATGATGCGAGCGCACATCGCAAGATCCACGCGAGGCGCCGCGCGCCCGCGACGATGGCGCATTCTCCGACCACTCTGGCACGTCCGACATTCCAACGCAAACTTTGAAACTGAATGAGAGCGCCACCGACATACAACGGGGAACGAGCTGATCCATCAGTCACCGCGCAGGATACACAACGTACCGCACGCGCGCGGCGTCCTTAACCCCCCATCCGAAACTACAACGACTCCAATTCCATTTTCGCTGCTGTGTCCGCCGCTTTGCTCGTTCGCACCAGTAGCATGGGCGCTCCCGCCTCTTGCGCTCCTCTGGCAGCGTACTCGCGAGACGCATTTCGAAACGCTGCTTTCCTTTCACGACGGTATCTCCCTGCGCCCGCGTCACAGGGCCTGACGCGTCGCATGCGTTGTCCGCGGAGGTCCTGCCAGACACATGCCCCAGCGTTCCCCCTCGCAGCCTGTTCGCGTTACCTCGTCCACCGACGACTTCTACATCATGACTCCCGTCGGGGTCCGCAGATCCATGTCGCGTGCGGCCGCGCCCACCGAATCGCGCGACGCGTCACAAGGCGTCGCGTTCTTCTGGACCATCACTTTGTCCAACGACGTGTCGTGCGGCAGCAGACATACGATTTCTGCCAACACGCTAAGTCGACGCGACTCGACGCTGACTCGCCGGGACATCGGCGCTTCTTCTCGCTTTCCAATACGCTAGTTAACGCTGCTGCACGTTGAAGACGGACTTGCCACGGCACGCGGGCTCCCACGATGCGCTACCGAAGGAATCGAAGATAATGAGGCAGATGCAGAAGGAAGGGCCCCCGACCTTCGAATTGTAGACCACACGAACTGTCGATCCGATCCCCAGCCCAAAGCCTAGTCGAATCCGCCGAGCTCCTTTGGGTCACCAAACATGTGAAATTCACCCCCCCCGTAATCCTCCCCCCAGCGACCCCAAATTGAGAGTTTCACCTCCCTACCCCTGGGGCCAAGACGACCCACCCGGGAACGCATCCTGGGCGAAGCCAGGTTCTTGTGGTCATTGCTGGTAGCTCGTAGACGGCCCCCCAAAGACACCCAACACGGTCCAAGAGGGCTCCGAACCGCCGATGGGTCGGCCCAGGACGCCCACGAGGCGTCCGACACGATCCAGGAGGTCTTCAAGAGCACACCTCCAAGAGCCCCAAAACGCAGCAATCGTCCCATTCCCGTCGGGAAACGCATATGTTTATCAGATTCCCCTCCTGGGCGTTCACAGCGCCCACAACGGCCCAAAAGGCCGTAACGGTCGCCCCAGGGTGGCCCCGGAGGACTCCAAGAGGGGGTACGCGAACTGACTCTTCGAACTCTGCGCCGCAAAAAAAATCCGAGGCCGCCAGCAAGCGCCCGACAGGCCTTTGATGAGACCAAACCCACAGAAGACCCAAAAATGATGCCCCAGAAGCATCTTCACTGCCTCACCAGCACGTGTACCGTGGCGCCCTCCCCCTGGCCCGATCCGAGTGAATCTCAAGGCACACTGCAGCGATTCAAAGGGGTCGGCGGATGTGGCGCAAGCCTGTAGAATCACATTCGGGATTGGACATTCTCATTCACATTCTCCCCCCCCCGCCGGTAATTATACCGAAGGCCTCCAGAAGTCCCACAGATCCCCCCCCCAGGGAGAACCATGGAGGCCTCCAAAAGGCCCCCCGAGAGCTCAAACATACGGCAAAATGACTCGGAAGCCTACGACGACAGCCTCGATCACCCCTTTTCCCTAAAGGCACGCGTATAGCCGTGCCCGCATCGAGTCGAAAGAACCTCAGCCGGCCTGGTCCCTCCCCCCCCCTCTCCCTCCCGTTACCTCGCGCTGCTGCGCTGGCCAGGATTAAGGGTGGAGGAGCCAGCAGGAGCAGAGATGGGCGAGGAGGAGCAGCGAAGACGAGGAGCGAGGAGCAGCGAAGACGAGGAACGGGGAGCAGCGAAAACGAGGAGCGAGGAGCAAGGAGGAGGAGAGGGAGGAGGAGGAGGAGGAGGAGGAGGAGGAGGAGAAGGAGGAGAGAGGAGGAGAAGGAGGAGGAGGAGGAGGAGGAGGAGGAGGAGGCGGAAGAGGAGGAGGAGGAGGAGGAGAGGAGGAGGAGGAGGAGGAGGAGGGAGGAGGAGGAGGAGAGGAGGAGGAGGAGGAGGAGGAGGAGGAGGAGAGGGAGGGAGGGAGGGAGGAGGAGGGAGGGAGGGAGGGAGGGAGGTGGAGGAGGAGGAGGAGGAGGAGGAGGAGGAGGAGGAGGAGGAGGAGCCTGGTCCGCAAGGCCGTGGGCATTGTCAGTTTCCCATCCACGACCCCGGGCCACGATCGATTGCCATGGCCTAGAGCTTAGAGGCCTCCCAGGTGGGGTCGGAGCGGAGTCGATCGGGTCGAAGGATCACGACGCACCAGCGACGTCGGCGACGTACCGGCGACGTCGGCGTGGAGAAAATCGGGCTCCACATCGAGCCGCATCGCCGATGCATCAGCGATGCGGCGCGACCCTCCGACGCAATCTGTCCTGGCCCTGTCTTGGAGGCTTAGACCGACCCCCTCCCCAGGGCCAATTGTCGCCCCAGATTCATGTGAGGCAGTCCCGGGGCCCGCAGAGGCCGAACTCGAGGAGGAACGCCGGGACTGATACGATAAAACCATAAAACCGTCGGAGGCCTGAGACTGGCCTCGCATCCCCGTGGGGGGGTGACGCGGCTCCCCCTCCCGGGCGGCCGCGGCCGGGCAGTGGCCTGGAGCGCCCGCAGAAGTATCGCCGGCCTCAGCCTGCAGGGCGGGCACAGCCAGCGCGCCCGCTCGCAGGAGCGCGCCACGGAGGAGAGCGCCACGGCCAGCGGGTCGCAGGCGCTGGGCGGGGCCGCCGCCGCCAGCCGTCGCTCTCGCCTCGCCGCCGCCGCCGCCGCCGCCGCTGGCCGCCGCCAGCCGCCAACAGCCGCCGCCAGCCGCCGCCAGCCGCCGCCAGCCGCCGTTGTCGCTCGTCGTCGCCGCCGCGGCGGGGCGCCCAACGGAAGGCTGGCAGGGATGGACGCCGGGAGGGGACCTGGGGCCTGAGTCACCTCTGGGGGGTCTCATGCGAACCCTACCCCTACCCCCCATGATTTCTGAGGGGGAGGGGAGGGTGGGGTTCAATTCGTTCGGGAGCTCCCGAGCGAAGTGAACACCACCCTCCCCCTCGGAAATCGTGGGGGGTAGGTGTAGGGTTCGCATGTGGCCCCCTAACCTCCCTTCGCGCACCGCGCCGTCGCGCCCGCGATGCGCGACGCGCGACTACCTTCGCGCCCTCGCGGGCTCGCGCCGCCCCCCTGGAGAAGGGCAGCCGCTCGGGCCCAGGCCACGACGCGCGAAGCGCGGTGATCTTCGCGTCCCCGGGGGCGACCTCGGAGACTGATGTTTCGCGGATTCTGGTTGGGTCGCCGCCGTCGCCATCGCCGCCGTCGTGGTGCACAGGGCGAAACTGGATGTGCTCGGAGGCGTCCAGAGGCTCACGGTAGGGATTCGGGAGGCGTTTCACAGGTCCCTGGCGTTTTTCGATGTATTCCTTGTGCTCCTCCTCCTCCTCCTCCTCCTCCTCCTCCTCCTCCTCTTCCTCCTCCTCCTCCTCCTCCTCCTCCTCCTCCTCCTCCTCCTCCTCCTCCTCCTCCTCCTCCTCCTCCTCACCCCCTGGCCCCTCCTTCGTCCACCCCCCCTCCATCTGGCTCCTCCACCTCCACCTTCTCCTTTTCCTCCAAGGGACGGACGTTTTCGCTGGTGCCCGATAATTCGGGATTTCCGAGTTGTCCCATGGATTCTGCAACTTCCCAAGTTCGTAGAGTTTTCTGGAGGTTCTCTCGGGTGTCTGAATATTTCCAGCACTTGTCTGAAATTGTAAGACCTTTCGAAGGTCTTCCCAGCCGTCTTCGTCCGGTTCCTCCTCCTCCTCATCCTCATCCTCCTCATCTTCCTCACTTGTCCTTGTCGGTCTCCTCCTCCTTCTCCTCCCTTGCCCAGCCACCCTTGTGCGGTTCTTCCTCCTCCTCCTCCTCCATTCATTTTCCTTCTCCTTCTAGATAACTCCCTCATGTCGCACCCCGAGGCTGGTCGAAAAGGCGGGCCGGGCGTTTGACTGGTGATTCCCTCACCATTCATGACCCTGTTGTTGACAAGTTGGCAACAAGTTCGCAGATGGAGGGCAGGTGGTTTTCGAAATGTGGCTCTCGCATTAGCGCCGCAGGTACTCGTCTTAAACATTTGCAAGAGTTGCACGGATTGAGCGCGGGCAGCTTTCAAAATGTGGCTCTCGCCTTAGCGTCGCCGGCATTCGTTTGACAATTTCGCAAGAGCTTCACGGATTGAGGGCGGTCCACTTTCGAAATGTTCTCGCCTAAGCGCCGTACATATACCCTTAATAATTTGCAACATCTTCACGGACTTAGCGCGGCTCGTTTTCAAAATGTGGCTCTCGCCTTAGCGCCATGCACATGCCTATTAAACACGTGCAAGATCTTCACGGATTGAGGGCGGGTGGTTTTCAAAATGTGGCTCTCGCCTTAGTGCCGCGCACCTTCGTTTTGAAACTGTTGCAAGAGCGTCACGGATTGAAGGCAGCTCCTTTCCAAAATTTGGCTCTCGCCTTCGCGCCGCGACCATTCGCTTTAAAGGTTTGCAAGAGTTTCACTCGTTCTCATGGTTAACGTACCAGAAACAATGCTTTAGAGCGAATCCCGATTGTCAGGGCGCAGCAATTTCGCTGATTCGCGGCGCAGAAGTCCGAAGAATGGTGTTCAAGCACGATTAAGGGTCGCCACAACGTAACCATCGGGTTAACTCGTGGCATTGATGTTCACACGGCTGTCCCCCAACGGGGCAATTCCCTCAGTGGAAATGACCCGTTGTAGTGGCCTATGAAGAGGTATCTTGGAGGGAGGGTGCATTTGAGAAAGGCGAGCGGCGAGCGAGGGGCGGAAATGAGGAGAAGGTCTTCTCAGGAGGCGGGACTTCTCAGGAGCCCTCGCGCCTTCTGAGAAGTTGTTGCTCCCCAATCAGACCTTGCCTCTGTAGGGTCCTCGCGGATTCACATGGTCAGGTGAGGTGCATAACCGATTTCCGTGGCCCGCCCGGGTGCCCGGGTGCCTGGATGCCCCAAGTGCCCGGGTGCGCAGGTGCCCGGGTGCCCAGCTACCGGAGTGTCTTACCCAATAGCCCTATAGCCTCATAGCCCAATAGCCCTATAGCCCTACATCCCTATAGCTTTATAGCCTTGTAGCCATATAGCCATATAGCCATATCGCCCTGGAGCCCTAGAGCCATAGAGCCCTATAGCCCTACAGCCCTATAGCCCTATAGCCCCGTGGCCCTATAGCCCTTTAGCCCAATAGCCCAGTAGCCCAACAGTCCTAAAGCCCTATAGCCCTATAGCCCAATAGCCCTATAGTCTTATAGCCTTATAGCCCTATAGCCCTATAGCCCTACAGCTCTATATGCCTATGGCCCTATAGCCATACAGCCCCATAGCCCTATATTCCTATAGCCCTATCGTCCTATGGTCCTATAGCCCTATAGCGCCATAGCCCAATAGACTCGTAGCCCTATGGCCCTATAGCCCCATAGCCCCAAAGCCCCAGAGCCCCATAGCCCTATAGCCCTACAGCCCTATAGCCCGATGGCCGTATAGCCCTATAGCCCTGTAGACCTATAGCCTTACGTCCATATATCCATGTATAGCCCCATAGCCCCATCGCCCTATAGCCCAATAGCCCCGTAGCCCAAAAAAGATATGGATTGGGGCTTTTCTCTGGTATCATAACATGAGTATTCGGGGAAGGCTTCGAAAACTTCTCGGAAGGCTGGGGGACTTCAGAGCCTTCTAAGAGAAGGCCCGCCCCTTGGTACTTCCCCCCGTCGCTCGCCGCCGAACAGAGGATGGACGACGGAGGAGGATGAAGCATATGGCGAGTAGGGGATCGACTACAGAATCGAAGTAGCTTTTAATTGATTTTCCGTCGAATCTACAAAAATGCCTACAATGCTCCGTAGATCTACTCACTAGTCTACGTATTTTTCTCATGGGCTCGAACGGAAAATCCAAGTCTGGGGTAAATCCATTCTGTAGCCGATCCCCTACTTGAATATGCAAGGATGAGGGCGGACGGACGACGACGGCAGACGCAAAACGCCAGCCAACGACGGCAACGGCAGCGGCGGCGACGGCGACGGCGGCGGCGACCACGACACCAAGAGGAGCGGAGTCAGATATGTACCGAGGAGGGGGGGGAGGGGGCGGAGGGGGAAGGAGAAGGGAGGGAGGGAGGGAGGGAGGAACGGAGGAAATGGAGGGAGGAAAGGAGGGAGGCAGGGAAGAGGAGGAAGAGGAGGAGGCGGAAGAGAAGGAGGAGAAGGAGCAGGAATACCGGTTCGGGGGCGCACTGACCCGGGTCAGTGCAAGGGTCAGTCTGGCCTTGCAGGACCCTGCAGGACCCTGCAGGACCCTGCAAGACCCTGCAAGTCAAGGCACCCCTGGCTCTGCAGGATCCTGCAAGATCCGGCGCTCTGGCAGACGCCGTTTGCATGAACCCCGTCCCGAGGCTCCCTGGACCCCTCCCGGTACAGTCGGGCCGCTGAAAGAAGGAACTCAAAATGAGGAACGAAGCCCCTTCTTGGCCCTGTAAGCGCCTCCGTGCCACAGGAGGGCAAAAGGAACAGCGCTGGAGGAACCTACGGAACATCGAGCCCCTTCCGAACCCAAACTGTTCCTTATTCCAGCGTCTTGACTGTAGTGCAATTCTGCCAAGAAAATCCAGCCGTGGCGACGAGGGCTCCCCAGGACGAGCACCGCCATACGGATACCTCGCCCATGGACGCGCTCGGCGCGAGTCCTGAGCGCGGCGAGGGCCGCTGGAGCACGTTCTGTAACAAGGAGCCCAGGGGCGCACAGAAATACACGCGCATCCCAGGATCGCCCATGTTTGGCGGCGCGCAGAAGGGGGTGGAGGGAGGGGGGAAGGCATCTGAGAAGCAGGGGTGCTTCTAAGAAGCCCTCCCCCATCCCCCCACCCCCCTCCGCGCGTGGCCGACGTGTTTCCCATGGTTACTGGACTCTCGTCTTCCCCCCACCTCGCACAGCTTCCACCAGCTCCTGGGAATCGACGACTCCTTCTGTGTCGGCGTGCTCCTCCCCCGACCCTGGGCGTCCCAGGGCGGCGCCAGCGCGGATCGCGGCGTGGCCGGCCCCTGCCCCTCCCTTCCCCCCTCTTCCACCTGCTCACGCCCGTTGTCGCCAGGTGATTTATAAATATATAAAAAACAATTAACTAACAAACAAACAAACAAAAACAAAAACAAAAAAACAAAGCAACAACAAAAAAACGCTCTCGGCGGCGGCAGCAGGCGACGGCCGGCGACGCCGTCGGCGGCGCCCGCGCCCCCCCCCCCCCCCGCGGGCGGCGGCGAGGGGGCTCCTGAGCGCGTCGAGGGCGCGGGCCTCCGCGTCCCTGCCCCGGAGGAGCCTGCGCTCGATGCTGGCGAGCTCCTGCGCTGCCGCCGCCGCCGCCGCGCCCGCTCCGCCTCCTCGCTGCGCCAGCTCCCCCGGCCCCGGGAGGAGCGCTCCGTCCTCGCTCCGCCCCTGCCGCGGGACAGGGGCGAAGGCGAGAGCGCGGCGCCCACGGGAAATCCCACGCGCCAAAGAAAAATCGGCGCCTCGGAGCTCGAGAGCCCTGCAGGAGAGATCGGTGCCCACACCGCTGCCTTCCCGCCCCCGCCCTCCTCGTTACCCCCCTATGCCCCTTCCCCCCTCCTCCTCGAGAGGCGACGGCCCGCCAAGGGAGGATCGGCCCCAGGGACTCCGGCTGGGGTCCACGGCGCAGAGACGTCACCGGTTCGAGCGTCTGCGGGGGGGGGGAGGGACGGAGGAGCAGGGCCAGGGTAACCAGCACCGAACTTATCCCTATCCCTAAGATGGGCGAGCAAAAAGAGAGGACAATCTTAGGGAGGTGCCCTCAGAAACTGGGGCAATCCTTAAGATCGGCATCGAGGTGAGGTGATGCCAAACACAGGGATAGGGATATGTTTCAAACTGGTAACAGGGTGAACTGAGGAGCGGGAGCAGGAAGCCGAATCGCCGCCCGAGCCCCGATCTGCCACTGGGCCCCTGGCACGAAGTGGAGTGCCCTGGAGAGCTCACGACTGTGCTGCTGCGGCCAGGATGTTGTGGTTTCTTCCTTGCCCTCGCTCGACGCCCATTCCCCCTGCATGTTCCGGTGTCGTGCGTTCTTGTTTCGCAAGCTGGTCCGGGATGCTCCTCGATGGTCCTCGCCGAGAAAAAATGCACACGTCCGAGCGACACCAAATCGTAAAGACCTGGAACTCTGGAGTTCCAGGCCGTCCCAGTCTTCCGAGGGTCTTCTAGGGTTACCCCCACGAGTTCCAGGGTGTTTCTTGCCAGTCCTGTGGATGCTGTGCCTGCCCCAAACGACCTCCCGAACCCTCCAATGTCCAAGAGGGCTCCGATTCGCCGAAAGATCGCTCCCAAACGCGCCAAAGAATTCCTCCCGACGGCCGAAGAGGCCTCCAAGACTGCCCAGGAAGCCTCCAAGAGAACTCACAAGAGGGCCCCAAGAGGCAAAAATCCGAGTTTGGCGTTTCCGCCTTTTCGGGTTGCCGACGCTCCAAGAGCGCCCAGGAAGCCCCCAAGATTGCCGCAAGACGGCCCAAAAGGCCCCCCAAGAAGGTGCGGAGACGGCCCAAAAGGCTTCCAAGACGGCCCAAGAGGCCTCCAAGACCGCTCAAGGGGGCTCCAAGGAACGTTCCAAGAGGATCCCAGAGGGGGAACACGAGCAGACATACCCGAGACGGCCCAAGATGGCCCAAAACCCAAGCGGCCCCCAAAAGGCCTCCAAGAGATACTCCAGGAAGGCCAAAAGAAGCCACAGTCAATGATTGTCCATAAATGATCGACAAATTTTCACACTTGCTTCAAAACGCCCTTCCGACGGCCCAAGACGGCACGAGAGGCCCCCAAGATCGCCCCAAGACGGCCTCAGAGGCCTCCAAGGTGGCCTCCAAGATGGCCTCCAAGATGGCCTCATAACGGTCCACGAGGCCCCCAAGACGAACTCAAGAGGGCCCCAAGACGGCCCAAAAGGCCTCCGCGACGCCCGAGATGGCCTCCCGGACGGCTCTCCAGCGCCCCAAGAAGGCCCAATGACGGCCCAGAGACGGCTTCCGACTGCGTCAGACGTACTAGGAATGCCCTGAGACGGCCAAAGAGGCATCCGAGAAGCTCCCAAACGACCCAAACAGGCCCAAGGAGGCCGCCGAGAGGCCCCCAAGAGGCCCCCAGGACGATCCCGGGAGACCCCAAGAGTGCTCCAATAGGCTCCCAAGAAGCCTTCTCCTCTGGTTTCCTCCCTTTCCTCCTCTTGTTCTTTCAGTGTGGAGCATTCGTGTTATTATCATCTCTCGTATTACGATTAGCACTCGTGTTCGCTGGATTTCCTTGTTGGTATTGCTAGTAGTAGCAGAGGGAAGAATGGAAAAGTAGTAGTAATAGTAATAGTGATTGTAGTAGTATTATTATTAATATTATTAGTAGTAGTAGTAGTCGTAGTAGTAGTAGTAGTAGTAGTAGTAGTAGTAGTAGTAGTAGTAGTAGTAGTAGTAGTAGTAGTAAGTAGGTAGTATTAGTAGTAGTAGTAGTAGTAGTAGTAGTAGCAGTAGTAGTAGTGGTAGTAGAAGTAGTAGTGGTAGTAGTAGTAGTAGTAGTAGTAGTCGTAGTAGTAGTAGTAGTAGTAGTGGTAGCAGTAGTAGTAGTAGTGGTAGTAGTAGTAGTAGTAGGTGGTAGTAGTAGTAGTAGTAGTAGTAGTAGCAGTAGTAGTAGTAGTAGTAGTAGTAGTAGTAGTAGTAGTGGTGGTGGTAGCAGTAGTAGTAGTGGTAGTAGTAGTAGTTGTAATAATAATAGTAGTAGCAGCAGCAGCAGCAGTAGTAGTAGTAGTAGTAGTCGTAGTAGCAGTAGTAGTAGTGATAGTGGTAGTCGTAGAAATAATTGTAGTTGCTGTTGTGAATCGTCGCGTGAGTGTTAGCCATACCTCATCTCAGTATTAATGGCATTGAGTGTGTTGGTATGCAGTATTATCGTTTGTGGATTAGTTGTGTTATGGATATGGTTCGTAGCACGCATCTTCTTACCCCTAATCGTCGCATTCAGTTTCCTAACGTTATGCCTCAATCGCAGTCGTAGTGATGCATGCCGTAATCGCAGTCGTTGTATGAAAAGAAATAGTGGTATGTATCATTATTAGTGTGATTACTAGTCACGTTTAAAAGTTAGTGTGCTTCTTACTATTACTACTGTTTCTTACTATGACTTAAAGATTCATACCACGATTGTCACTCTGATTATTACGATTGACCATATGATTATGCGTCTCCTTCGTAGTAGTTGTCCCCACGTGCTCCCTGCAGGCTGGGGGAACAGATAGCCCGACAGCGTGACCGAGCCGTGGCCGCACCGTTCGCCCACATGGGCGCTTCCAAAGAGGCAGGGGCCGGCGGTGGCTCGCCGCAGGCGTCTCCGATCCGACGCACCCTGCCGGATTGCCACTCGCGCGGACGGCGTGCCAGCAGACGTCAGGTAACGTTTGGCCCATTGCAAGGCTCCCAGTGAGCCTTCGGCCGAGAGAACTGGAGGAACAGGAAACCTGCATAACCGTATAAACGTTCGGAGGACCGCACGGATTTACTGTTGGGTCGGGCATGCACCCCTACAGGCGGATCTTGGGCGAAACATGGGGGGAAAGAGAAACAAATGTCCAAAAACACCCCAACATAGTCAAAAAGCTGCTAGAAACATCGTCCCCAGACTCTGTTTTTGCTATCTTTGAATATTCCTCCTGTAGAGGGACAGGCCCGACTGAAACTTACTGCACTGGCTTCAGTCGGGCCTGTCCCCCTACAGGGGGATTTTGGACGAAAAATGAATCAAACAAATACCCTAAAGATTCCCAGAAATACCAAAAAAGTAGTCCCCATCATTTTTGTTGACCATGTTTGAACTTCCCCCCTGTAGAGGGACAGGCCCCCCCATTCAATAACACCCCAACAACACCCCAACATAGTCAAAAGAATGCCAGAAACATCGTCCCCAGACCATGTTTTTACTATCTTGGACTATTCCTCCTGTAGAGGGACAGGCCCGACTGAAACTTACTGCACTGGCGTTCAGTCGGGCCTGTCCCCCTACAGGGGGATTTTGGACGAAACCTGAAAATACAAAAAACAAAACAAAAAAAACCTAAGGATGCCCAGAAATATCAAAAAGTAGTCCCCATGATGCTTTTGACCGTGTTTGGACTTCCAACCTGTAGAGGGACAGGTCCGACTTAACACTGGCGCGGGAGCCCCCCCCATTCAATAACACCCCAATAACACCCCAACATAGTCAAAAGAAGCATCGTCCCCAGACCATGTTTTTACTATCTTGGACTACTCCTCCTGTAGAGGGAGAGGCTCGACAGAAACTTACTGCACTGGCGTTCAGTCGGGCCTGTCCCCCTACAGGAGGATTTTGGACGAAGGACGAAACATACTCCAAAAACACCCTGAAGATGCACAAAAATACCCCCAAAAAAATAGTCTCCGACATAATTTTTGACCATGTTTGAACTTCCCCCCTGTAGAAGGACAGGTCCGACTTAACACTGGCGCGGGAGCCCGCGCCTTGGTCGACCCCGTGCTTCCGCGCCGCCTCCCTGCCGGCACCCGGCAAGGAGCGGCGCTGTGCCGCCCGTGGTCCGGGGCGCAGAGCCCCCCCTCCTCCTCCTCCTCCTTCTCCTCCTCC